AACATTGAAATCAAAGGAAAAGAAACACCTAGAAATTCCAGCGACGTGAACTTGAATTGCATGAACTTCCGAGCTTCCTTCTCCTCCTCCTTGGTGTGGCAAAGGGTCTAGGGACAGGTTTAGGGCCTTAGGGGTATGGATGCATGGTTATGGAGGGATGTAGTAGTGTTTAGGGGAAGGGAATGGTGCGGCAAAGGTGTGGAAAAGGGTTTGGACGAATTTCTGACTTTGAGGAATGAATGAATGTGTATGAGAGGTGGTGAATGAAAGGGTGCGGCAATGGGTTATATATATAGGCAGAAAATCTCCTCTCCTAGGTAGCAAATGACAAGGTTTTAAAGGCCTAAACTGCATACGATAATAACATACAATCCTACAAGGAAAACAAGTCAAAAACCCAAAAGGAATGGGAGATAAGGTGCAGCACAAAGAGTGTGAAAAGATAAGGCTTCTAGAAACCAAAATCCCAAGGGAAATAGGGTAGAAAGTGCGGCACAAAGGCTAGGGTTCTAGGAGATAATGCAAGGCAGATTTTTAGGCTTCTAGAAAGGTTCCTAGGCGCCATCTTTGTAGGATAAGATAAGGTCTTCTAGAAATCCCATTTTAAGCATCTTAATCTAGTTAGAAACCTTCCTAAGTGGCTGAAATGTGGATAATTTAGGATTAGGATAAGATAGGATAGGATAAGGTTGGTTTGGATAAGATAAGCTAAGATAAGGTTATGGATGAGGTTTTGGATAAGATTCCTTATCTTGAGCTGATTTTTGACTTTAACTCTTCTTCTTCACATAGGAACCCTTGCTTGAGTAGGAACCTTCATTCGTCTAGGACTCCATCTTCAATTAGGACTCCTACATTGATTAGGAATCCTTCGTTTACGCCCTTTCCTACTTCAACTAGAAAACTTTGTATCTTTAATTCTTCAACTTCGAAACGCCTTCCTAACTTCATCAATCCCTCAAATTTGTCCATCCCTCGTGCCTCATGTGCATGAACTCCATTCTAGCCCAATTTTGCTCCAAAATGCTCCAAAATGCATCCATTTGCATACTTTGCCCTTAAAACCTGAAAACACATAAAACTAGCTTAAAAGACTACTTTACTAAGGAAAAACACTATAAATGCACAAGAACAAGCTAAACTAAGGCGCATAAATATGCTCCTATCACCCTTACGGTGCCTTCTCTTTCTGGGGCTCTACCGACTGCTGAGACTTCTCCTAAGCAACCTTTGTGAAGGCTCCCTCTTGTTTGTTTATTTTGACTCATGTATATGTACATATTTGTAACTTATCGGAGATATCAATAAATAAGCTTTGCTTCATTTCAACGTATTGTGTTAAATACACCAAAGCCTTCTTCACTGAGTGGGGTCGGCTATAAATCTTAGAACGCCATTGTGCTTGGTCTTGTGTCATGTCCTCCATTAGATCCAAATACTCTAAGTCTTTTCTTAGAGTCTCTTCCAAAGTTTCCCTAGGTCTTCCTCTACCCCTTTCGGCCCTGAACCTCTGTCCCGTAGTCGCATTTTCTAACCGAAGCGTCAGTAGGCCTTCTTTGCACATGTCTAAACCACCGTAACTGATTTTCTCTCAATTTTCCTACAGTTTCGGCTACTCCTACTTTACCTCTGATATCCTCATTCCTAATCTTATCCTTTCTCATGTGCCCACACATCCAACGAAGCATCCTCATCTCCGCTACACCCATTTTGTGTACGTGTTAATGCTTCACTGCCCAACATTATGTGCCATACAGCATCGCCGACCTTATTGCCGTCCTATAAAATTTTCCCTTGAGCTTCAGTGGCATACGACAGTCACACAACACGCCAGATGCACTCTTCCACTTCATCCATCCAGCTTGTGTTCTATGGTTGAGATCTCCATCTAATTCTCCGTTCTTTTGCAAGATAGATCCTAAGTAGCGAAAACGATCGCTTTTTGGTATTTCCTGATCTCCGATCCTCATTCCTAACTCATTTTGGCCTCCATTTGCACTGAACTTGCACTCCATATATTTTGTCTTTGATCGGCTTAGGCGAAGACCTTTAGATTCTAACACTTCTCTCCAAAGGTTAAGTTTCGCATTTACCCCTTCTTGAGTTTCATCTATCAACATTATATCGTCTGCGAAAAGCATACACCAAGGAATATCATCTTGAATATGTCCTGTTAACTCATCCATTACCAACGCAAAAATGTAAGGACTTAAGGATGAGCCTTGATGTAATCCTACAATTATGGGGAAGCTTTTGATTTGTCATTCATAAGTTCTTACGGCAGTCTTTGCTCCTTCATACATATCCTTTATAGCTTGGATATATGCTACTTGTACTCCTTTCTTCTCTAAAATCCTCCAAAGAATGTCTCTTGGGAGGGACCCTATCATACGCTTTTTCCAAATTTATAAAGACCATGTGTAAATCCTTTTTCCCATCTCTATATCTTTCCATCAATCTTCGTAAGAGATAGATTATCTCCATGGTTGAGCTCCCTGGCATGAACCCAAATTGGTTGTTCGAAACCCGTGTCTTGCCTCAATTTATGCTCAATGACTCTTTCCCAGGGCTTCATTGTATGACTCATTAGCTTAATACCCCTATAGTTCATGCAATTTTGTACATCACCCTTATTCTTGTAGATAGGCACCAAAGTGCTCTTTCGCCACTCATTTGACATTTGATTCGACGATAAAATGAGTAGTTTCTACACTCTTCTGAGTTACTCAACTCCCCTAAAAAAGTACTCCTTTCATGTCCTTCGTTGAAAAGATTATGAAAATAACATCTCCATCTGTCTTTGACCGCAATCTCTGTAGCAAGAACCTTTCCATCCTCATCCTTGATGCACCTCACTTGATTTAGATCCCTTGTCTTCTTTTCCCTTGCTCTAGCTAGTTTATAGATATTCAACTCTCCTTCTTTGGTATCTAGTTGCTTATACATGTCGTCATAAGCCGCTAACTTAGCTTCTCTCACAGCTTTCTTCGCCTCTTGTTTCGCTCTTCTATACCTTTCACCATTTTCATCGGTCCTGTCCTTGTATAAGGCTTTACAACATTCCTTCTTAGCCTTCACCTTTGTTTGTACCTCCTCATTCCACCACCAAGATTCCTTTTAGTGTGGAGCAAAGCCCTTGGACTCTCCTAATACCTCTTTTGCTACTTTTCGGATACAACTAGCCATGGAATCCCAAATTTGGCTAGCTTCCCCCTCTTTATCCCACCCACACTGGGTGATTAATTTATCTTTGAAAATGACTTGTTTTTCTCCTTTTAGATTCCACCATCTAGTCATTAGGCATTTCCAAGTCTTGTTCTTTTTTCTCACTCTTTTGATATGTACATCCATCACCAACAAGCGATGTTGATTAGCCAAGCTCTCTCCCGGTATAACTTTGCAATCCTTACAAGTTATATGATCCACTTTTCTCATTAGAAGAAAATCTATTTGTGTTTTTGATGACCCACTCTTGTAGGTGATCACATGTTCTTCTCTCTTCTTAAAGAAGGTGTTGGCTAAGAAGAGATCATATGCCATTGCAAAATCCAAGATAGCTTCCCCATCCTCGTTTCTCTTCCCAAAACTATGGCCACCATGAAAACCTCCATAGTTGCCTGTCTCCCTGCCCACGTGTCCATTTAAATCTCCTCCTATAAATAACTTCTCCGTCTTGGCAATTCCTTGCACCAAGTCTCCTAGGTCCTCCCAAAATTTCTCCTTCGAACTCGTATCCAACCCTACTTGAGGTGCGTACGCACTAATCACATTGATGAGTTCTTGTCCTATTACAATCTTGATTGCCATGATTCTATCTCCTACCCTCTTGACATCTACAACATCTTGTGTCAAGGTCTTGTCCACGATGATGCCAACACCGTTTCTCGTTCTATTTGTGCCTGAATACCAAAGTTTAAACCCTAAGTTTTCTAGATCCTTTGCCTTAAGACCAACCCACTTAGTTTCTTGTAGGCACATAATATTTATCCTTCTCCTCACCATAACTTCCACTACTTCCATAGATTTTCCCGTTAAGGTTCCTATATTCCACGTTCCTAAACGCATTCTACTCTCTTGAACTCTACCCTTCTGTCCTAGCTTCTTCACCCTCCCCCGTCCAATAGGATCAAAGTACTTCTTTTGTGTGTCCTGTGTAAAGTTGATAGGAGCATATGCTCCCAAACAACTTTGAGTGGAGTTGTTCGAAAAGAAGTTTCTATGGCGCTCATTTAACACTGCATCCGGGTACCGATGGAGATACAGCGACTCTTGCTCACTTATCACTGTGCTCGGGCCACACAACGCGCCACTTACGGGTGACGCCCTAGCTTTAGCACGATTTCGTTCCAGATTCATTTTCATAAGGATTCGACGTAATTGAGGAGTGCCGGTTGTCGACTACCTGACACCCTCCCCCTCCTCCTTTACCCGGGCTTGGGACCAGCAATGTAAGATAAACTTACACAGGCGGAGTTCCCAATTTTACACTCTACTGAGACAAAAAAAACTTAGTTTTATACTTACAACGCCATGCTGGAACTGTCCTGTAATGTCCATCTGTACCCATAAGGCCTTTGAAAGTAAAAATGCAAATTCACTTTATTTCTTTTTCATTTTCGATGAAATGTACTATTATTGATATATTAAAAAATTATCATGCACTCATTCTCAAAAGAATAAATTTCACTTCAAACTGTGTTAGACAACTTATTATTAGTACCAATAACAACTCACTTTTCAATTTATAATCCTTTTTTTTTTTCCTTTCATCTGGCTTGTTTCTTCTCCATTGCTATGTTTGCACATATCCTTTGTTTTGAAGCCTTTTGTTTCATACTTACCGTTTAAGGGAACGCTGCAGCTTTCTTCTTAATATCTTTTAGTTGAATAGTTTGCATATGTTTTGGTTTTATGTCTATTAAGTAGAACCATGCATTGATATTGTCTTCAATCAACCATTTAGGCGTATACATGACCGGTGTAAAACTTATGATTGTTTGTTGCAGGCTTCGGACCCCGTGGAGGAGCCAACGAATTTGGGAAAAACAGTGATGCCAACCGAAAGTGAGGTTGAAATTGAAAGTGAAGAAGTTCGTGTAAGTGATTCTTATCTCTTAGACGGTAAATGTAGTTGGGTTTAAGAGCACTTTAAACCGTGTGAGGTTAGTAAGCGTCATGAGAAAAAGAAATCTTTGTATGCTAAAGAACATGTAGATGCTTTGGGTTTTTAAACGGTATAAAACATGTGGAAAGTACTAGATATATATACGATACAAACTATTTACATGCAGGTAGAAATTTATTTACAACTCTATTTACAATAAAGAACAAAATAGGTGTCAAGAGCGGGGTTCATAAAGTTTTGCAAATTTAGAGTAGTGTTGAACTTATGATTCCATTATCAAAGTAAAATTACATCCTAAGCTAATTGTAATTAGTAAAATACAGAGAGAGTTTGGTGTATAGGGGTTGGAAAGCAATTCACTCCAGTTGCATTAGTGGAAGGGTTTAAACAAAAAAGTATAGCTACAAGGTTAAATTAATCACTTTTAAACAAAAAAGTATAGCTAAAAGGTTAAATTAATCACGCACAGAATGTGAGATAATTCTGGCTAGCACAATATCGAGACTCTTCCAAAACCACGTTATGTCAGACTCACTATATTAATTGGAGAATTAGTATCAACCACTTATGTTTATGGTTAAGGAAAGATAAGGGTAGTTAGCTACATGAGTCATGAAATTAATTTAATTTGGCCAAGTAAACACCTTCTGCAAAAACATACTGAAGAAAAATGGTTATATATAGCCAGCCTATCATTATGCTATTGTTAAAAGAAAATTTATTTTTCATATACAGGAGGATAGCAAGTAATATTATTGAGTTTTCTTAGTTATCTACATGAGGCAAATTAACCATACAAACTTGCTTGTTTTCTACATACAAAGCAGATGCGAACTCACTTCATTTTAATTCTGTTTTTTATGAGAAGTACTGTTATTGACACTAAAAAACACGCATTCCCACAAGATTTTGAGTTCGATTCCCTTACCTACTTGTCCACGGCTCGTCGGGGTTCATATGAAAACATTTTTTTATTAATTTTATTATTATTAAGAGAATGAAGAGAATTCGAAACTCTCACAATAATTCAAGGGAGGGGGAGTTTCGAACCCAAGACATATAGGTAGAAACCCAACACCATATCCACAAGGAGAAATTTTTCATTGTGATCAAAACACGGGTGGTACGCTATGTGTTTTTATATAAGTGGTGGGAAATTTTATTTTTTAAGTTATTAACTTTTTAACATACATATCTTAACATTTGTATAATGATACATGATGTATCATTCCGTATTTCGGTCACACTGAAAAATCTCCCATCGACTAGGATATTGGATCACATGCAATCAAGGTTGATATGAATATTTAGTAGCAACATTCCACAATAACTCCTAAGGCATTTGGCGGGGTTTTTTTTTGTTTCTTATAAAAGTTTGCTCGAAGTATCTTAGTTGATTGTGTGCCTAATGAAATATTTGAATCAATGCAGAGAAAGATGTCAGCCTATAAAATGGCACATGACATAGAAAACCAGTTGGATAACTTGTCTAAAACTGTCCCCTTGGCGGTGTATCTATAGAGTTCCTGAGCGACTACGGCAAGTGAATGAGAAAGCATATACACCTCAAATAGTCTCTATAGGCCCATTTCACCATGGCAACGGACCCTTAAAAGCCATGGAAGAGCACAAACTAAGGTACCTGAAACATTTTCTAAGTAAAACCGGGGTAAGATTGTCTGATTGTATACAATGGATACAGGAGCAAGAGGAAAGGTTGCGAGGTTTTTATGCAGAACCCATTGTGTTTGACAAGGATGAATTTGTAAGAATTGTTTCAGTGGATGCCGCCTTCGTCATTGATTTATTATTGAGGTTTCATTACTCAAATTATGGAGAGGAAGGTGATTACATATTCAGAAACCCTACGATGAAAGAGGATGTGGTTCGAGATTTGAAGTTGCTTGAAAACCAGCTGCCATTCTTCATTCTTCAAGATCTTTTCACATTTTTTCCTTCTTCACCTGAGCATCCTTCGTTACTTAAAATTTCCTACTTTGTCTTCCAAAGTGAAATCGATAGCAAGGGAGAAAAAGAGAAATTTGACGAGATAGTTTCTTCTGGAGTAGAAGAGAGAAGTTCTTCTGGAGTAGAAGTAAAACATTTTGTTGATCTGATAAGAATTCTATACCTACAAAAGAAACCCGAAACTACAGACACACCCAAAACCACTTTGTGCGACCGGATGCCAGTGCGCTTATCTCACTCAATCTTTCTGACGTCTGGGTATACACCCATCACCACAGACAACCCCAACACCACAGCCACTCCCAAGTTGACAGAGCTACACCAGGCTGGAGTCAAGTTTAAGGTAGGAAAAGACAGCAGCTTAATTGACATAAAGTTTTGGGTCAACATTATTAATAATGGTTGTATATCTTCAACTAAATTAAAATGGCTCGATGAACGGGTGCTTTAATGCCTATAAATACCTATTGTAGCATAATGTTTCACACAAATTTCAGAAATTTATTTTTACAGTACTTGCTCTCTTTTCTCTCCATCACATTCATACAATTTCTTTCTATTTATTTCTAAGGTAATACAATTCGGTTTTGCTAATCGAATATTCCATACTTTGTTGTATCATTGTAGTGACTTGCCAAGAACCCTTTAGCAAACTCATTTGAGTGGGGGCAAATAACAATTTAAGAAAACAATTCAAGTTGTACCTCAAAGTCATCATTCGGATTATTCTATATATTTCTACTTTTACTCTAATAATCTTAAAGTGTTACTTTCGTAACAAATCTGATAACATGGCTTTGAAGATTATCAATCAAGATGTCTACAAGTTAAACAAATTTGATGGATCCAATTTCACTCGATGGAATGACAAGATGCGTTTCATGCTTACTGTTCTAAATGTCATATATGTGTTGGACCCGAAATTGGAGCCGATTCATGAACCAAGTGACAAAGACTTGGACAAAATAGTTGCCGATCAAAAGAAGTGTGAAGAAGATGAATTGGTATATGGAGGACACATCTTGGGCACATTATCTGATCGCTTATATGACATGTACGCACACATTCAATCTCCAAAGGAAATTTGGGAAACATTTGAACACAAGTTCACAACGGAGAAAATAGGTACCAATAAATTTTTAATGTTCAAACTAAGTATTAATAATAAAGTGAATTCTTCTGCTTATATTGTTGAATCTTCCTTTCATTTATGGCATTTACGTTTACCACATATAAATTTTAGATCTTTAAAATACATGCACACACTTGGTTTAATTGCTTGCAATGATGATTATAATGATAAATGTGAAACGTGTATTCAAGCGAAAATGACTAATAAACCTTTTCCAACTGCCGAAAGAAATACAAATTTATTAGACTTAATACATTCTGATATATGTGAATTCAATGGTATTTTAACAAGAGGAGGAAAAAGATATTTTATCACATTTATAGATGATTGTTCTAAGTTCACTTATGTTTATTTATTGTCTAATAAAGATGAAGTTTTTGAGTGTTTTAAGCACTATAAAGCTGAAATTGAAAACCAAAAAGGAAGGAAAATTAAATGTCTTTGTAGTGATAGAGGTGGTGAATATTTTTCACGTAAATTTGATATTTTTTGTGAAGAGCATGGTGTTATACATCAAAGATCTGCACCCTATACACCACAACAAATGATTTGGCAAAAAGAAAAAATAGGACACTCACTGAAATGATTAATTCTATGATGATTAATGCTAATACTCCAAAATATTTATGGGGTAAAACATTGTTTACTGCATGCCATATACATTATAGAATTACATCTACAAAGACACATGTATCACCATATGAAATTTGGAAGGGAAGAAAACCAAATTTGTCATATTTGAGAGTATGGGGTTGTATAGCTTTTTATAAGGCACTCGATCCTAAGAGATCCAAGTTGGGTCCAAGAGGAATTAAAAACATATTTGTAGGATATGCAGAAAATTCAAAGGCATAGTTGCTTAATTTAGACTCAAATACAATAATTGAGTCTAGAGATGTTGAATTTATAAAAAATAAATTTTATAACGACTACTCAGTGTTTGGAAAAGAGTGATCAAACACCTTTCTCTAATCCGTCAACTAGTCATTCTCAAGGTGAGAAAAGAAAACAGTCTCAAATTGTTAATGAACCAAGGAAAAACCAAAGAGTAAGAAAAGAAAAGACTCTAGGCTCTGATTTTATTTCGTCTCAATCTATTGTATTTTTAGTCGAAGAAAATATAACAAAGGTTCTTAAGAAAATACCCATATTATTGAATGTTGAGGATGATCCTAAAATTCTAAGCGAAGCATTGACTTCAAGAGATGCAGCCTTTTGGAAATAGGCTATAAATGATGAATTTGAATCATTAATATCTAAGGGGCTCTTAGGGTGCGTTTGTTGCATCGAACTATCTCGGACTAGACTAACTTCACGGACTAAGCTGGACTGATTTAATGAAGCGTTTGATGCAGTGTCGGACTAAGAAGCAGGATAACTATTAAATTTAGATACTATATTTTGATCATACTTGTTTGTACCATACTTGACCAATCCCAAAACTACTGAGCACCGGTCAACGTTATACCATCAAGGACCCAGAAGAGCTTCCCTTCAACCAGGAGGCCAATCACAACGCGACACGTGTCGACATCAGAAGCCAATCACAGCACGACACGTGTCAACATCATAAGCCAATCACAACATGACACGTGTCAATGTTAGAACAAAACTAAAAACTCTCTTCTATAAATAGGGATCATTCTCCCACAATAATCTCTAATTTTATTTTGTACTAAACTATTCACTAGAACTCATAAAAGGAGAAGAGCTTGAACCTATGTATTTGTGTAAACCCTTCACAATTAATGAGAACTCCTCTACTCCGTGGACGTAGCCAATCTGGGTGAACCACGTACATCTTGTGTTTGCTTGTCCCTATTCATTTACGTACTTATCTTCACTAGTGATCGAAGCAACCAAGCGAAGGTTACAAACCTGACACTTTCTGTTGTACCAAAGTCCTCGCTGGTTTTGTGCATCAACATTTGGCGCCGTCTGTGGGAACGACACTTATTCCCACTCTCTTCAGCTTTGTCAAGCTGGTTTCCACCGCTCGTACACTCTCTTTTGGCCAAGCATCTCTCTCCGACATGGGGAGCGAAAGAAGCCATAGCACACAGAATGACACCCCCCTTGGACCTAGTATGAAGCAACGAAAGCAGGAAGAAAATAGAGTTACTCTTCAAGCTAAAGTCGATGAGCTAGAGATTCAGAATAACAAGATAGCGATGAAGAATGAGGTCCTCCAGGAACAATATGAAAAACTTTTCGAGATGCTTCACGAGGCTAGGCATGCTTGTTCTATCGACATCTTCCCGACATGGACGATGTTCTTTGACGAATCTGCACGAGCGGACGGAGCAGGGGCAAGAGTAGTATTCATGTCGCCATAAAGGCAAATACTACCTTATTCCTTCCAACTAAGCGAATTATGCTCCAACAACGTCGCTGAGTACCAAGCACTGATCATCGAGCTCCAAATGGCGATCAACATAAAAATCACAACCCTCGAGGTATATGGCGACTCTAAGCTCATAATCAATCAACTTTTGACTGAATATGAAGTGAGGAAAGATGATCTTGTCCCATACTTCCGGCTGGCAACTCAATTGCTACAAAGGTTTGAGGCTGTAACACTAGAACATATGCCAAGAAAAGAAAATCAAATGGCAGATGCTCTTGCCAACCTAGCCTCAAGCATGCCATTAGGAGAAGACGAAGCTGCAGACGTGCCAGCGTGCCAAAGATGGGTGATCCCCCTCATCACTGAAATGCTACTGGATGATACAAATGTCATCTCAGTACTTCTAGTCAATGTTGAGGAGTGGAGACAACCTCTAATCGACTACTTAAAGCATGGAAAACTTCCAGATGATCTTAGACACCGCTCTGAAATACGTCGACGAGCACCTCGCTTCCTCTACCACAAAGAAACACTCTACCGACGCTCTTTTTTTAATGAGTACTTATGAGATGCCTAGGTGAGGAAGAAGCCAATCAAACCAGGGAAGAAGCACATTCAGGTGTATGCGGGGGCATTAATCTTGACCAAAGCTACATTTCCAGCTCAAAAGAATGGGTTACTACTGACCAAGCATGGTGAAGGACTGCCTAGAACATGCCAAAAGGTGCCAAGCCTGCTAATTCCATCCCAACTTCATACATCAACCACCTGAGCCATTACACCCTACAGCTGTTTCATGGCCATTCGATGCATGGGGATTGGACGTCGTAAAACCGATTACTCCAAAGTCATCTGCAGTAGAAGCTTACATCCTAGCTGCAACAGATTACTTCTCCAAGTGGGTTGAAGCAATACCCCTAAGGGAAGTAAAGAAGGAAATTGTCGTCCGTTTCATCAAAGAGCATATCATCCACCGATATGGTGTGCCTCGCTACATCATCACTAACAACGGAAAACAATTCTCCAACCGACTTGTGGATGAGCTCTGTGAGAAATACAAGTTCAAGCAGCACAAGTCTTCCATGTATCATGTTCTGGCCAATGGTCTTGCAAAAGCATTCAACAAAACATTGTGCAATCTCCTAAAGAAGATGATCGGCCGAACAAAGAGAGACTGGCACAAAGGAATAAGCGAAGCACTTTGGGCATATCGGACGACACATAGGACTCCTACCCAAGGTACGCCTTATTCTCTTGTATATGACGTGGAAGCAGTTCTACCGCTCGAAAGTCAAATCCCCTCACTAAGAATGGCTATACAAGAATGCTTGACTGATGAAGAGAATGCAAAGTTACACCTTCAAGAGTTGGAAGCACGACGAAAGAAGGCTCGAAGCTCAACAACACTTGGAATGCTACCAAGCACGCCTATCCAAGGCATTCAACAAGAATGTCTGCCCAAGGTCTTTCCAAACTGGAGATCTCGTCCTTGCATTACGTAGGCCTATCATCACAACTCACAAGACAAAAAGCAAGTTCACATCAAAGTGGGATGGACCATACGTAATGCAAGAGGTCTACACCAACGGCGCCTACTTAATCATGGCAGAAGACGGCTTGAAGATTGGCCCCATCAATGGCAGATTCTTAAAGCGCTACTACCCCTAAAAAGTGACAACCAAGGCTCCTCGCCTGCATGAGCCTAAACTGCACACGGTACAAAGTTCCTGGCCCGTAAGAACATAAACTGTGTACGGAAAAATAATCATCAAAATCACCATAAAAAAAATCATCGCTCATTTAAACTACGTTACGACATGATCTCTTATTTGGAAGAGTACGTAGGCAACTTGAAACTTCAAAACTTCAAGTACAGTCACATCATCAACAAAAACAAACACTTTGAAGAATAAAAGCAAATTCAAAATATGAATACTTTATTTCTTTAAAGGAATGATTCGGTTACAAAGTCGTATTAGAAAGGTGAGCATTACGCCAACTTCACCACCGAGGAAAGTTGTGACCAAAAGGCATTACACAGCATAAACTCGCTGCAGTCTTTTGCACAACCCCACAAGGTAAAGGTGACGCACTGGAACAGGCTCCAAGCAGTAGCGGCAAAGAGGGCAACTATAAGACGGTCATTCAAAGCACGTTACAGTAGCGAAGAAACCAAAATGCCACGCAATCGCATTACACAACCCCACAGCGATTACGCAAGCAGTTTCTTACACCGCACGATAACGTCACCACCAAGGGAAAACTGTGACCAAAAGGAACTACACAACGAAGCCCCGCTGCAGTCTCTTACACAGCACCACACGGCAGCGCACCACCGAGGGAAAACTGTGATCAAAAGGCACTACACAACAAAATCCCGCTACAGTCTTTTGCACAACCCCACCTGCTACACATGGTGTGCACACCCGGAGCAAGTGGACCTCAAAGTCAGTCGCACAACCTCGTCTGCAAACACATTCTTTTCTGCTGACTCTTCTTCTTCCTTTCATAAAAGTGGCACAGTCACCCACAAACAAAAGGAAGACCTGCACATGCACAAAATATGAATCCAGAGGTGGTGTTTTTCTCTCTCTCCTCTGCAGCGACATCTCTCTCTCTAAGTCACAGCAAAGATGAACCTGTAGC